ATATATGAATTCCATATAAACTATGTAATAGATTAAAATAAAAAAATGGCAAAACTTAAGTAAATAGACAACTATATTTTTTTAGTAGGGCCAGAGAGAAAGAATTTCTTCACTTAGCAGTTATTGCTGTGGTTTAATATTTGTGGAACATGTCTTTTAATTAAATAGCTTCTGTAGATTAAGACTGATAAATTTATTTACATTATGTACAATCTCTTTCTAAAACTATTACAATTTTTTGTTTACGCAATGCTAAAACAACAAACAACTGCACCTTGAACTTCAAAACGTATACTATAGAGTATTATTTAAATCAAGTATAATATTTATGATCATGGATTATTTTATTGCATTGCATAAACGTACTTTTGACGACGATAAATTGGACTTGTTTTATAATGGATAGCTTAATCAGAACCTTTTTCACTTTATCTATTACAATTCTTTTATAAAATATAATCCGAAATTTATGGNTTTTTAAAAGCAACCTAATCATGTCCAATTTTTCATAAAAAATGCTTTCGAACACAAAATTTAGAAGTACCATAGAACACTTTTACTAAAAAGTTGCACAAGGAGTTATGTCCTTGTCGTCATCGCTATCTGACTTTAACAGCCCCTCGTTTATAAAAGAATATGTTAATAATGTCACTGTATACTGGTATGATGAAGATTTTGCACAAAGTCGATATCCACCAGGACAAAAAAGTAATAAATTTATCTCCCCTGATTTATTCATGTCTAATATCTTTTATTAATGAAATGTGTAGTCAGTCAAGCATGTACCCTGATTTGTCTTCTTGTTGCACAACGAATATCTGAAGCAGGATTTTTCATACGTGATATAGAATCAAATCCTGAAATTAGTAATTACATAGCCAAGGCTATGATAGAAGGTAATGCTACTCATGCACGGATTGTTAAAAATGGATTAGTTGCTCACCCATATCTCAGTATAGAGGAAGCATTAAGACATGGTGGCAATAAATTAATTATAATGAAAGAATGGGTATACGTTTAATGTACATTTTTATCTAGTTTAATACAGTGATCAAAATATTTTTATAACGAATACTATAATATTATCACTCATCCGATATTTTATTTTACATAATTTTACAATCTTCTTTATGCTTTACAGACCTTTCAAGTGTTTCATGAAAGAATTGAGAGAGGCTTATATAAAAATATAAGTAACTTTTTACACAAATGGTATGCATCTCCAAAATCCAATAACTTATTCATGTTTCTAATTACATGTGGCCGTACAGTATTATTCATATTTCAAGAAAATACTAATATTGTAAGATTTCACTATAGTAAGAATCACTATTTGCAGTACTGTAATTATAAAAATTATTCTCTATAGGTAACATTTTTTGATTCCCACAATCATCAAATGAATACAAGGCCAACTAGAGGATTAGTTCTTGCGCAGGTAAATCTTCATAGAAAAATAAATTTTTAATGTTAAAATATTTTACAAATTAATAATTAAAAAATAATGTAGACATCTATAGACAAATTAAAATATCTATGCAAGTGGTATATCGAAGATATATTAAATCAATGTTATAATATGAAATCGGAGCAGTATGAACTAGCTTTCTTATATCCTAAAGACAATAAATGCTGTGGATGTAATCTTAATTACTCCTGTGGCAGTTACTGTAATCATCACATCCAATAAGATCNATATATGAATTCCATATAAACTATGTAATAGATTAAAATAAAAAAATGGCAAAACTTAAGTAAATAGACAACTATATTTTTTTAGTAGGGCCAGAGAGAAAGAATTTCTTCACTTAGCAGTTATTGCTGTGGTTTAATATTTGTGGAACATGTCTTTTAATTAAATAGCTTCTGTAGATTAAGACTGATAAATTTATTTACATTATGTACAATCTCTTTCTAAAACTATTACAATTTTTTGTTTACGCAATGCTAAAACAACAAACAACTGCACCTTGAACTTCAAAACGTATACTATAGAGTATTATTTAAATCAAGTATAATATTTATGATCATGGATTATTTTATTGCATTGCATAAACGTACTTTTGACGACGATAAATTGGACTTGTTTTATAATGGATAGCTTAATCAGAACCTTTTTCACTTTATCTATTACAATTCTTTTATAAAATATAATCCGAAATTTATGGACGACGCATCTTTGTGTTACTAATTTTCTACTTTGCACCAAGGTACGCCATTATACCTACGTGCACATAATTGTTTTTGATTTCTTAAACATTATCTAAAATGTTCAGATACATATATATCTTTATCTTTTGCATCTTTACATTATATTTCCTTAATCTCTTTGTGTCATATATAAATTAAAGCGATTAGTAGCTTCGAAAATTCACTGTGTATTTGACTAAAACTACACAAGCATTAATCACACGTTGTACTTTGTCAAATGAAATGATAACAAGAAAATGAAATTGATTCTGTATGAAATTTTGTGTTGTAATCACAAGCTCAAAATATCATGTTATTTTAGTTTATTAAAAAACAGACCGTTTCATTTGCAACAATCATAAATGAAACCCATAATTTAAACTTGTAAAAAAATTCTTAATTTATTTCTCCTAACATCTATAGTATTCTCAGAATTACAATATAAATATTTCTCTGTAGCAGTAAAACAGAAACAAATCTTTTGCTATGAAAAGATAAGTATAGCAGTGCCAAAGTTTCGTTACGTTTAAAATACAGATTTGTTTTTCTCTTCGTGTTTTTTGTATATATGTTACAAGTGTTATGTATGTCGTAAAATTTATTTAATAACAATTTTCAATAACGTAATTTTTAGAAATAACTATCTACAAAAAAGTAGAAACAAATTTTTTTCAGAATTTTTCGTTCAAGATCCTTGGGAAGGAACACAATGAGTGATTTTTTCTACTGTTTGCAAATACCATTCGTAATTGAGCAACCTGTTACTATATCTTTTTTTGCTCCTTTTTTGAAGAATAAACTGATTATACATCATATTACTTTGTACAGATGGATGTATAATATTGTAAATTTAAACTTACAATAGTGTTGTAAAGCTTTAAAATTCATGTAATTTGGATTTACAACGATTTAATTATATTTAACTTTTACATGTAAGAAAGTAATATTCTTTTCATTTTAAGCAGAATTTTTTTTTACATTACAAGGTTATTATACAATACGATTGACTCTAATAATTATAACATTCTTTTGCCTCACTGACATATTTTCTGTACACAAAGTAAAATGATGATGCTTTATCAAAAAAATATGTTCAAGTATCACATGATTAAACAATTTTATAATTGAATAAGTAAAGCTTTTTTCTGATGAACTCGAGGTTGTGCCCACTCTACAAAATCATCTATCAATACAGGCCAAGCTCCCTCTTCGTCATAATTACTCATATCAGGATTGATCATAAGCGCAAAATCTAATAATAAATTCCACGTGTCTTTTGGAATTGATCTCTTATGGTGTTCCTAGAAAACAGTATTAAACATATTTAAGAATTTCTGTCTATGCTGTGATTTTTTTAGTGATTGTTAATAATTCTTTTCAAATTTCTACCTGTAAAAATTGACACCATAATTGCAGGAACTTGAATTTGTCATCTAATACAATATTCCAATAAGCAATTGCCATATCGAGGTCTAAACCTTTCTGTCCTGGATTTTTTGCATAATTGAATGTAAAATGATAAAAATCCTTAAATTTGTGAGGATCTCTTAATTCATTTTCTAAACTACTTAAACGAGCTTTTAATTTATCTATACTGTCCACACTGAAAGAATAATTTCAATTATTTTTTATTTTATATGTCATGTAACATTAATTCTGATATACTGTACAAAAGAGAAAAACATAATTTTTGTTTAAATTACCCTAAATCCATCATGCCATTCATAAATTCGTCTTTTGTAAATTCACACTGAGTTTCTGCTCTGAATTTCCAAGCAATGATTAATACTAATTTACTTTCAGGGTTTAAACCCAGATCGTCTAAAAATTTCATTATTCCATCTGCGGTGATCTTGTCTGGTTCATTTGGATCTATATTGATCACCAGATTACAATAAGATATAAAAATTCACGATATTAGAGAAAATTTATATAACAATATTGATTTATATACTAATAATTCAAAATGTTTCATATTTACCTTGATATCGACTGTACAATATTTCCAATTTCTTTTTGTCCACAGAAATTCTTGGCTCTTTATAATAAGCCTCAGGATTTTGAAAATAGTTGTCACTCGCCAGATCTAGCTTCCAATCATTCTGTGCTAAACAATATATTGCTGTTTGTTCTCCAGTTTGTGTACAAGTGATGAATTTCTTTACTTTGTCTCTTTGTGAGACCTTTAACTTATTCTGCAATGAGAATTAAATACCAAACTTCAGTACAACAAAACCTTGACACGAATATGACACGGTCAGTGACAAAAAATTATAATTCATTTTTCGTTTGCACACCATCTTGGTCAGAACTTCTCAACACAAACCTATTTATACATAGTCTCAGGGTTTTCGTTACACTGACGTAGACCTCGAAGAAGATATACAAACAAACAAGACTTCGTTACGTGTACAAACGTTACGATACTTTGCGTATAATTCTATCAGACGAACATCTCCAAATTCGACGATTTTCGTGTGTCACTGCTGCATTTTACAGACACTCAACAATATAGTACAGTATTATCTTCTAATATTGTCTAGTTAGAATGTATAACAACAAACCGATTTGTATTTCGTGCAAAAAGAATCGTTAACATCCAAATCCGATAGGTTATTCGAACGTTTTCGTTACTTTCTCATTAACGCCTGCCGAAAGACGGTGTTACGTATTTGGAGATTAATCTGCGAAGATGGTTGCACAAATACAGCACAGAAATTCGCGATGGGCTCACCATTTTAGCTAATTTTAGGCCCCCGAAAGCCAAAATATTATTTCCTTTGCACTGCACTTGACATGAACATGCGCACGTTCTGCGAAGGCTCCGAGAAATGCAAATAGACACCAGCAGCGGAGCTAGGAGCAATGCCACCAAACGTTGTCAAAGGAAAACTATTTCGAGGACAATGTCGCGGGTTTTTTGAAACGGCACACGTTTAATTTCTCGGGCCGCGCGTTTTACCGCGGGGCTGGTTAAAAAACGAAGTATGTAATCATCCAGAGCATCGCGAAATTCAGTTCGGTCGTCAGTGGCATCAATACAGACTTCTTTTTTTACGTGTTGTTCAATTGACAATGATTGTGATATCGAAGCTACACTGGGACAACAACAACAGCATGTTATCGTGAATCCTAGACCAACACAAATAAATAATCACACTGTGAAATTGCAAGGTCATAATATGCTGCCAGTCGAACGAATAAACGTCAATACGTAAGTGTAACAATAGTGACATAGATGTTGTTTCTAAATTGTTAACCTAAATGTTGTCCATGGAATGGATGCGATGTTACCGCAATTTTGACAACTATCATTCTATATTTCGATCGACGCGGATCTTATTGGAAGTGTGTACACCAAACAAAACGAATTCGTCAAGTCCTTTTTAATAATACTACATCCGTAGTGAACGCTAATTATGATTGCCAGGAAAATGAGTGAAGAATGATTTCTTTGTGAGGTTAATCGTTGACGATGCCAATCGAAATTATCCGGTTATTATGTATGTTATCGGTGAGGAATGCTTTATTATCTTTATAATTACATAGTTTTTTAAATTGATCCCTTAATTGATCTCTTCTTATTCTTATAGAAATGTACCAATTGATTACGAATCAATCTCACAGGCTTGAGGTTTGAGTAATCATGCGTAACAGTCTATTGTAATAGTTGCAATGGGGGGAAGCATGTTCGAATTCATTCCATTATACCATCAAAATGGAAGCGGAAGAGAGCTCCGGCATTGGATAACGCATATTAAGTTGTCCAGAATCATTATGCTAACTTCTGCAGTCTTATTTATTGTACCATTATTTACTCATTACTACTTATCAAAGGTGCTTATTACGTTTAAACATTTATACATAATTCATGCATACCGTTAAAATATGTTTTGTATTATAGGTAGAATCTGATTCACCAGACAGAGACATTTATCGAACATTTTCCACATTGGAAGCTTTCGAAGACTTTACTTCTATGAAAGCTTCTCAGCTGAAAATGAGAATTGAAGAGCTACTACGTATTAAAGTTTCTGTAAATAATGAGCTTAGAGATCTGAGTGCCAAGAGACAGAGGCTTCAGGTGGAGATCAATAGTTTAACTCAAAAGATAGATGAATTGAAACAAGAGCTGCTCCATCAGCAAACAGATCTTGACCGACTGAAAATCAGTGTAGAGCAGGCACAAGTAGCTCAGAGGGAAGCTGTAGAGAGGAACACACCGGAATTGGCACCTCCTAAGCGTATACTAATGGATTCTGTTCCTGTAGTATTACCTAGTCCTACATCACATTCCTGCAGAATGTATAATTGCTTTGATCACAGCCGCTGTGCATTAACAAGTGGATTTCCAGTCTATTTATATGATCCAGATCAATACTCTGTAATAAATCTAGGGTGGGATGTCGACGGATTTTTAAAAACCACCATAAAACAAACACTAGGTATGCAGTCATGTGATTATTAATATTTCTGTACATTGCAAGCTAAGGTATATGTGTTTGCTTAATAGGATACAATCCACATCTTACTGCAAATGCAGCTGAAGCTTGTATATACATACTACTGATAGGAGAAATCCATTCGAGTCAACAAAAGGACAAGAAACACAGGAACCTCATAGACATAAAAAAATTGCACGGACTTCCTTATTGGGGCGGAGATGGCAGAAATCACATTTTATTGAACCTCGCACGTAGAGATCTGTCGGTAGAATCTGGAAATATTTTTAGCGGTGTAGATACTGGCCGAGCTATAATAGTGCAATCAACGTTTTATAGAAATCAATTTAATGAAGGTTTCGATTTAGTTGTTCCACCCATTTTGGGACCTCCAGGTGGCGATGTTTGGCAGGAGTGTGCTCAAATGTTGCCAGCAAGAAGAAAATATTTGTTGTCCTTTCAAGGAGAAATGAGATCTTCGAGAACAGCGACCATGTCGAATCAAATAGACGATGCCGACGTAGATTTAGAGAGATTATCAGTCGATGAGAATAATCTTGATACTTTCATTATTCAACATCTCAAGGAAATGAGTACAGGAATGACCTTGGATAAATTCTTTATCCAGTTTGAGTGCATACCAGCTTCAGAGAAAAAAAGTCTCGTCGAGATTCTGGATTGGTCTCTTTGTGGAACTGATTCGTCTAGGAAAGCAATCTTAAGAGACTCTACATTTGCCTTAATTCTAGCACCTAGTAACGCTTCTTTTGTAACTACGTCTTATATGCAAGCTAGACTATACGAGGCATTGCGATCGGGATCTATTCCAGTGTTCTTAGGCGGCGATCAAATAGTATTAAGTTACAGCGAGGTAATTAGTTGGCGTAGAGCTGCCATCTTTTTACCCAAGGCTAGAGTAACCGAAATGCACTTCCTGCTGCGCGCCGTACCCGACACTGATCTTTTGAGTATGCGTAGACAAGGCAGGCTAATATGGGAACGATATCTAAGCACAGCACAGGGTGCAGTAGATACTATTGTTGCAGTTATCAGAGATCGACTTGGTATACCTCCATTGCCAGCTCCACAAACTGCCAGTCCAAGTGTCTTCAACGAAAGCTTCGTGGTAAGGGTTACAGTGACAGTGTCTAATCTTTCGGTGTCTCTAATTGTTTTACATTTCCTCAGCCTTTAAAGTCTGATGCCATCATCGCTGAGCCAGAAGCGGAAGAAAGTTTGGGTCCTTTGGAACCACCTTACCCGTCCCCTGCTTTCAAGAGAAATTACACCACCATATTACTTCAAGGCCATGAAATCTGGAACGATTGGGTGGATCCATTTTATTTGTACCCGCAGCTGCCGTTCGATACTGTTCTTCCCAGCGACGCCAAATTTCTTGGTAAATAAAGCGTTGTACCTGTTGCAGGAGAAAACTTTCATTGGGCTTGTATAAATTGTAGGATCTGAAGTGGGATTCAGACCAATTGGCAAAGGCGCAGGCGGTGCAGGTAAAGAATTCAGTGAAGCTTTGGGTGGAAACTATCCAAGAGAACAGTTTACAATCGTGATGTTAAGTTACGAACGAGAACAGGTCCTGATTAACTCCTTGGCACGACTTTATGGATTGCCATACTTAAATAAAGTTCTCGTGGTATGGAACAGTCCAAAACCACCAATGGAAGATTTAAAGTGGCCGGATATTGGAGTTCCAATTCATGTAAGCTTTGATATTCCATAAGAACGACTATCTCCATTCATGAATGAAAATTTCTTTTGTACAGGTCATAAAGGCGTCGAGAAATAGTTTAAACAATAGGTTCTTGCCATTCGATGCTATCGAAACAGAAGCTGTTCTTTCAGTGGACGATGATGCACATTTAAGACACGACGAAATTATGTTTGGATTCAGGTAATTCATTTAAAGTTCTTGTTATTTGACTTTACGAAGTCAAGGTGATTATGATTTTAATATCTGCAGAGTGTGGAGAGAACATCGGGATCGTGTAGTTGGCTTTCCCGGTCGCTTCCACGCATGGGACCAGAATTATCATAATGCTTGGAACTATAATTCTAATTACTCATGCGAGTTATCAATGGTCTTGACTGGAGCTGCGTTCATTCATAAACATTACACATATCTGTACACTCATTGGCTACCGCAGGCCATACGAGATAAGGTTGACGAATACATGAATTGTGAGGACATTGCTATGAATTTCCTCATATCTCACATCACAAGGAAACCACCCGTTAAGGTTAATGAAATATTATCATACGATATGTTCCACACTTATTATTATTATTGATAAATAATTTCACGGTTTTCTGTATTTTCAGGTCACATCACGTTGGACTTTCAGATGTCCTGGCTGTCCAGTTTCTCTGTCGGAGGACGATACCCATTTCCAAGAGAGACACAAGTGCATTAATTTCTTCTCTCAGGTGAGTACTTTCTAATAATGTGGTGGAATAATTTGAAAATTTTGTAAGTACATTTTTTATTTTGATTTGTAATTTTTGAGTATCAATAAGTGGAACAGCATGATTTTTTTGTAGAAATGTGGGAATATTAATTTATTATTTCAGGTTTTTGGATATATGCCTCTCTTAAATACTCAGTATCGAGCTGACTCGATATTGTTCAAAACGAGGATACCGCACGATAAACAGAAATGTTTTAAATTTATATAGAGAACTAATTTTTACGTAGGTAAATACCTAGTACATGGTCACTTGATAGAATTTACATGGTTTTGATACAATTTTGACTGAATTGATACACTATCTCCTACGGGTTATGCCATTACGTGGAGTAAATATCGTAGACATTTTTTGAACGTTCTCCCTTTTTTAATTATACTTTTTATCGTTATCACATTGCACATTTTAAAGAAAAATTATACACAAATTTATACGTCGTAAGGGATATGAAACAAAATGTAATGAAATTTTTTACGTTGTTGTACACATAAGTTATACTACACCGATTTTCACAGTTTATGATAACTTATGATAAATTTGTTTGATCGGTTGAAGGTATAAAACATCAAACACCGTATACGATATTATAATTCATATTACACACACGTTGATGTATGTAATATGAACGGCTCTATAAGAGCGAAATGAAATGAATTATAATTTATTTAAAATAGGACCAATACGATAAAAATGATTACAGTTACATACCAGATGCATAATCAATACAGTTGTAAATAATATTAGCTCATGTAAATATGATATCACAAATTCTGATGATTCAAGATCACAATGCTGTTCAACGATTAATGAAATACGTCTGAAATTAAATATTAGAAAAATTGTCCTTGTGCTGAAATCTTATTACTGATTTATAGCACTGTGTAGATAATTTTATTCTAGTGTCTTATTTATATAGAATTTTGCTACCGAATGTCGCGCCATTATATCGTGCCAAAATTTTGTTAATTACGATCCTTATCTTAAGTTAACATAACATTCGGTTACACCACAAGCATTAATATTTAATTGCGCAATACTCTTAAAGACTAATTGTACATATACGTATCGCACATCGTTTGATTTTGTATGATTTAATACGTTTTTTTTTATTTTAATGTAATTAAAATAATAAAACGCAATCGTATAGGTGGATGTACCTGAATACCATTGCAGCGTGTAAGATAACACTACTTTGTAAATTTGATTTTCTACTAAAAAGCTGTACAACCAATTGTATGTAGAACCAGAATCAAAGTCAGGTTCACGTTCAAGGAGACAAATATATATTATTTATGATTTCACAGTGGAATGTACTCGTCACGTTGCAAGAAATAATTAATTGATATTAATGCCGTCTCGCTTAACATTAATTCAGATGTGATACCGAGGGTCTGTAAAACCCGAGCACCGAGCATCTCTGGCTTTGCCCCAGGCATCATTAATCATGCGTGCCCGTATATTGTGTATCATAAAAACGGATACACGAAACAGGTTGGCAGAGTCTACTGGCGGCAGTGGTTGGCAGGACTATTTTAATATTATTGCCGTTGATCGATCGTCGTTTAATGGGCGAGCACAGTTGGAAAAATTAAAATAAAATTTCTTAAACGGAAGAATCTATTTACGAATTAAAATTAGTTTGCGACATTAGATATTTGTGTTCGGAACGTTGCCTGATCGGATAGACGTCGATATTACTGTCTCTATCTTCACTCTACCGGAACGATTAAACAAACTTTCATTTATGTTAGTAGAAACTACGTTGTTTTTCATGACTCTGATGTCTGACAAGTACAGACGCATACTGCTTTCAGCAAGTAGATCCGGGCGGTCTGATCTAGAGCAGACCAATTCTACTGATCCGTCACGGCGATATCGTGCTTTTACTACTGGAACGAATAAATTTCACGCCTAATTCATTTGCGAAGCTGAACATATGACCATTACCGACCGCGTCAGATCATCAGTCAAAGCGAGCGGTTTTTATTTTTCCACGAAGCCAGACACCCGCGATCAATCCAGATTGCCAGCTCCCTGTCCCCGATTTTTCATTCAAACTTTCCTTATCTCTTGCTAGGGTTGCTTCTAATTTCGGACGTAGGCGGGGGCGTCGCGCGAAATTTACATCGCGGACAGGAATTCGGCGGTACAGAAGTTTTTACGAGCGCTGGTTGAACTGCGGATCTGGTAGCCCGGTCCAAAACTCGTCGGGGCGAATTTCGGGCAGCGTACCAACTCTGGCAAACTTCGCCGATGTCGTCGACTGTTACGGTTAACGTCCCGGAACAGCGTAACGAAACGGTCCACGGGTTCCCGGCGTGTTTGCCAATAAACTAAATACCGTTGGCCGCTATCAAAGAAGCAAACGATTCGACGAGCATCGCCGGTACAACGAACCGGATAGTTCATAGTTTCCCGGGTTCAGCGGACAGGGGCGGCCGCTCGATAGCGTTCGAATTCGCCGCCAGAACGAGACAAGTGGCACCGTTGCGGCGGTGAACCCCATTGGCCTATAGCTCGATCAATACGGGGTTTTCCATGACGTAAGTGCGGCTTGTGGTCCTTATTGGTTCGGATGTACGCCGCATCCCATTATTTATTAAGACCGCATGAATGGGCGCCTTCTCGATGCATCTGGACGCCGATTCTCGGCCGGCACCCGCGACGCCGTGCTCCTCCGGCTGTCGCCTAAGCTACCCTCTACCCTGAAACCGGAGAGACACGGTAGCGGGTACGTGGAAAAATCCACGGGACTGCGCGGTGGCCGACCAGCGTCCTCTCGGACGTCTATCTCCCCTACCTAGGTCCTGGCACGTCCACGAGAAACCAGAATTCGTGCAGGCGAGTAGGGTGGTGGTCCGTAATGGACAAACAGGGGACGGTGGGAGGGTTAGCGGTTCGCGCAACTGCGGTCGTGGACTGAAAAGAGGGAGGGAGACAGACAGAGGAGGAGAAGGGTGTCTTCCGCGCGTCGAAAGGCTCGGACTCTCCGGTACCTCGGTTAGATTATTTTCGTTTGTTGATGGTCGTCGATGGTGGCCGGACCGAAACGATAGCCGTGGCACACGGGTTCTCTCGCCTGGGGCCAGGGCTCCGGGATCCATCGCGCGGTGGATTCGAACAGGAAGTCGATTCGCGGCCGGAAATTAGCCCCCTTCGCGGACCGGTTGTCTCGTTTCAGCCCGTTGCCGAGGAGGAGGAGAGAGGGTCGGTGGCGCAGAGAGAGCCGTGGTGGCGAGCCAGGCGTGGAGAAAGAGAAAGAGAGGGAAGGTAGACGTCGTGCCGAGGGAAGGGCGAGGTAGATAGGACCAGATATAGAAGCCGGGGTAGAGGGAGAAAGATGTAGGCGAACGGCGGCGGGCGGCGACGGGGTGCGGAACCGAACGGGGGCGGGGGGGCCGGGCACGGGGTGGTTAGAGAAGGAGAGAGAGACCGTAGGGAACGGGAGAATGACGGAGAGGCCGAACCGTCAGTGAGAGTAGTACCAATCGCGGAGCGTTGACGGACATAAGCGCGCTAGGGGTGTGGAATAAGCTCATTCGTGTGTTGTTCTTGCGTCGAGCGTACAGAAGGGAAACGCTGGAAACACGGAAGTGAAGGAGTATCGTTCGTTCGGCCATAGTCGACCACTCGGGCCCCGTTGTTCTGGTGCACGCGTGTGTAATCAGTGCGAGAGAGGGATATTGGGCAGCCGCCGCCGCAGAGAGAAAGACGGACAGAGAGAACGAGCGAGAGAAAGAGAGAGAGAGAGAGTAAGAGAGTAAGAGAGAGCGAGCGAGCGAGAGAAAGAGTGAGCGAGAGAGAAAGAAAGAAAGGGATAGAAAGAGAGAAGACAGAAAGGGAGAGAGAGTCGCTCGCGATAACACAGAGAGAGAGTAACTGGCTGTTTGTTAACCTGACGAAAACCGTGAGGATCCATACTCCTCGGGAGCTAGGATCGCCCGAGAGATCGAAGGACGAGGCCGAGCAGCTGACACACGGGCTCTCCTTGATCGACGGTGGTGCTCGTACGTCTCGGAGAACCTCGAGGACAGCCGGTCAGCTGGGAAAACGGCTTTCTCGTGGGTGTGGAACGATCCGGTCTAGGGCGATTGATTGTGTGGGTGTCGCGGTCGCTGCAGAGACGTCGAAAAGCGCCATCGTTGTGTCGGCCGCCACGTGAATCGCGGCCAGTAACGAGTACTTGTGGCGTTAAATATCGTCCGGGACCGAGGCACACGCATACGTGGCGGGTGATCTAAGCGCGAGTGCACGGGCACCCGGCCGTCGAATGAGTCCGTTCGGTAGCTAGCGAACGTCCGGAAGAATCATCGCGACAAACTGTGGACGAACTGGACACTTCCGAGGCGCTTGGATCGATCCGATATCTCCTCCAGCCGAGACGAGTTCGATCGTCCGCGTCGATCCCACACCGCAGCAGCAGCAGCAGCAGCAGCAAGAGGAGGGGTGTTTTCTTACCTACGATATAAATAAGGAGAGCATATACCCTGTGACCCGTTTTCCCCGGAATCGATGAGATTCCGAAAAAGAAGCCGAGCGACAACCCGCAGGAACACGACCACGTAGCCATTGCCACAGCGTTCCGGGATTGGTCAGGGTTAGGTGGACCCATCTGGTCCGATCGCTCGGCCGCGCGGAAGCCTCGGCGAGGCAAGCGTTCCACCTGGGGGGCCCTGGGGTGCTGTGTGTGTGCGTGTGTCGGAAGTGTGTACCAGAGAGGCGGTGTGTGTCCCCCCTGCAAAGTTCAAGAACCCGGGACCAGTCGGTGTGTACGGCAGAAACGAGCGCAGCAACGTCGGAGTCACCCGCGCGCGTGACCCGTTTTCCTTTTCAATCGATGTATTCGTGAACTGGGCCGCTGGCTCGCTCGAAACCTCGGAACTCGGCTGACGTTCCCGAGTGTGTGCCGCCACGGATCGGGGCACGGGCACGGGCACGGAGACGGGAACGAGCACGGGCTGACCAAAGAACGAGCCCGAAGAAGGAAGAAGAGAAGAAGGGGCCAGCGGGAGAGAAGGAAACGGCGTGTCGGGTAAACAAAACCGGGGGGAATCGGCTGGTAAACGGAGTTCGGGGCGACGCGGGGGTGTGGGTGCTCTCTGCGAGTGCACGCGTACTTCGTGGCAGCGAGAGAGAGTAGGAGGTTGCGCGCGTCCTAACCTCGCCGCCACCGACGCCGACGCCGCCGACGCCGCCGTCGCCGCCGCCGCAGCCGCCGCCGCCATCATCATATCGGGGACGCGAGGAGGAACCTCGTCGAAGGTCGCTTTCGAGGAACACCCGGGCACAGCCGAGCGCCGTTCCATGAAGCTGGCTTTGAGCGGAGGACGTGCCACGAGGACGGAAGAGAGAATGCGAGGACCTCCACACAGCCTGTGAACATGATTTGTCATACAGATGCGGCCAGTGGTAATCGTACGACGAGAGACACCGACGACAAGGACGCCGACGGGGACGACGATCACGGAGCCAGCAGCGGCATCATCATCATCGGCCAGCGTCGCGTCGATGCCACGGCGAAGCTGAACCATCGCATGAGAGCAGCCAGCCTCTCCTCCTCCTCCTCCTCCTCCTCCGGCGACGATAACGCGCGAACGATAAAGCCCACCGTGCTCCGCGTCGGACAGCCGAGCCTCGTACTCATCGTGAACGTTATCATCGTGATCGTCATCATCGTCGTCGTTGCCGTCGACCGACAGACAGTCCCCCGTGATACCAGTCGCGCGGACAGGTGCGCCAGCTCCGAGCACCGATCAAAGGAACGCACGAAAAAGCAACACCGGACACGACCAGACCTCGGTCCAGCGGAGGAGGGCACACCGTGTTGTCGCGGCCAGCTGGTACGATTACCAGGTGTCGGATGACTCCCTCCGTACCACGCAGCATTCCCGTAGTCGTAGAAAGGACGCGATATCCCGTAGGAAGGAGCGTTGCCGCGCGGCGAGCGAACCTCGTCGCGGCATCTCATCGGCGGCGTCGTCGGTGGTGCGCCGGCCCGCGCGTCGCGCTAAACTTCTCGCGATTAGACCTTCCCGTGCACGTTCCTATCTTACGTCCGTGATGGCGGCTGTACCTGATATGTCGCACCTCACCCCCGAGGAGAGGAGCACCATCGAGGAGGTTATGATAAGGCAGAGGCAGGAGGAGGAGAAGGAGAATGAGATTATGAGGTGCGTACCTGATAATACCTCTCGCAACCCGCAATATGCACCGGCCGATTTTAACCTGTGCGCGATACTCGAATGCAAACTATTTTACGATTACAACATTGAACAACTTTGAACCTTCTATTCTGTCGCGCGTTTTTCATCGACATTTACCTTTCACGTTCTATATTTGCTTTTAATCTATTTCCGAAGATTTTCCGTTGATTTGCAATGCCGACTGTTTTCGTACTTTTTCATGCACGAGTGGCTTGTTCGAATTTATTCGGAATCGGTCGCGATTGTAGCCAGACTGTGGAAGTTGGTGCATTTGCAACGAAACAAAGGTTTCGATCAATTTTCGATAAACATTTCTTGTCCCCGAGTTTCGAATGCGCGTGAAAATCTACGATCTTCCATGTTTTAACTTCGAGATAGCGTCTCCTTTGTGTAATTCGGTATCCAAACAGATATTTATATCCTCTTACAATAATGTTCAAATTCAACGAATTCGTATGTATGTACCTTGTATCCGCAGTCTGGTCATTGTTTGTTTCTCTAATCTCGGCTAGCCGACGATCGGAGTCAACAGTCACGATCAAACAGATCGTTCTCATTTCTCGTTAACGTAATATCGACGAGAATTTACCGCGGGTCGACTGGGAACAAAAACTTTTGCAGTTTGTAAACAGTAGTGGAAAGGCCTTTGCGACCAAGGACTCCGGGCTCGTGGCTTCCCAAGAGAATGAATAAGTAAGCGACGCAAAGTCAGAGAGCGGTCGCGTCGGCCAGTAGTACGAGACCTCAATGGTCAGACGGCAGAGAGAGAGAGAGAGAGAGAGAGAGAGAGAGAGAGAGAGAGAGAGAGAGAGAGAGTCGGAGCCCACGAAATGTGGACGAACGGGTCACGCGTCGGCGATCGGAATTACTGAACGGAGGAAACGATATCCGAGATCGATCCGGCACACGTATTTCTTGCCCAGCAAATTGCCGCCGCGAACGCGTTCCATGTATTTTCTGGATTCACCTGCTCGGCTAGTCCTTGACCGCTTTATATACCCGCCGCATCTTCTCCTATTTAGGTATTCATCGTCGCGCACACATCGTCGCGGACGATTATCCTGGCTGGTTCGCGCCGCGAAATGAGAATCCGTCGTCTAAAGCCCTGCCAGCGATGATCAAGCTCCGGCAGCTTAACGATCGTCGTCGTTCCGAAGGTACGAATTCGTTCGCCGTGCCACCGAACTGTCGATTCAATCGCCTAGGTCCAACGGCCTTGACAACTCCCCGAGCAATTAGAAACTTCAAGAACATAGTTCGAGACGCGTTCCGTATTCAAGATTCGTTTTCTTGCCGGGAGGCCTCCGTCGTTCGTTGCAATCGCTCCTCGGTCCCGTTCTTGGGAATCCATTCTGTTAATAGACGCGCCCCGATTTCCATCGATCCGCTACTTTCGAAACTTCGAACTTTGAAAAACGATTTGCAACCTCTTTGAGGGACACCCTGGCGCATTGTATAAGCACACGAGACACCGCGTTGATCCTCTTGGCTGTACATTGCCATCCTCCCGGCGGTGTCTTGAAGCCACGGGCATCACTTTTGCCAGCTTTCGTGGCCCCGGATCAGAGCGCCGCATTTCCCTATTCGAGTCAGTCGGATAGCTAGATAGATGATTTCTCCGGATCAGCGACCGTGGGTTCTAAAAGCGTCGTTGCACCTGGCCGAGCCGGGGGTGGGTGACGGATGCGACAGCTTCTCTATTCGCATGCAATTACGGTTGCCGGAGGTAGGGGTGCATAGGCGAGGCTAGGCTAGGCGACGCCGAGGAAAATGGGCGCTGTTCTTCCGAGGAAGGCGTTTTATTGATAGGTTGTCGCTGATGGAACACGGGGACGTGAGAAAGCAAGCCCCGGCCGGGAGAGAGAGAGAGAGAGAGAGAGAGAGAGAGAGAGAGAGAGAGAGACAAAGACCGCGGCCGTCCGAGGGGGTGGTAAAGGGGGACGCAAGGGGGTCGGGGACGCGTTGGATCGAGGGAACGATAGACGGAGAGGGCGAACAGCGTCGGACTGAGTGGGACGAAACGGAGATAGAGTAATGAGGAAAGCGTGCTTCGCCATACCGATGCGAGATCGTGTAATGTGGACGACAAGTACGTGTAGGGACGCATGTAAAATGCAAGGCAGCGTGGCGGCAAGCTTGACGTGGCTCGGTAACGAGCTGCTGCAGTTGCATAGGGTATGCATAGGGTATGCAGGCTACGGCCCGTGGATGGAGTGTAAAAGAGGCTGGATTGGCACGGTAAATTCTTGGATGGTGAAATATAGAGGGTACCCCGCGTTTCACCAGCTCCGCGGGAAACTTCCAGGCTCCTCGGCGAGGCAACCCCGCGTCCTGCGCGACGCCGAAGGACGACAAGACCAGTCGCCGAGCGACGCGAACCCTTTGATATCAAGCGGTAATTTTAGTTCTCCTATAGAGCTGTGTCCCGCTCGCGTATCGGAAGGCGATTCCGGTAAAAATAGACGGTAACCTTTCAATCCCTGCGTGCCGAGGCTATTTTGTGCACGCGTGCAGAGCCGGCGCCGCTGAATCCAAAGGGATTCACGCGTCCTTCCACGATCAAAACCGCCCACAAATTAATACGAGCCTCTCGGCAACAATCGCTTCGTCAGCTGGCCATTTAACACCTTCTTCCGAAAGGAATCTTCATATTTTTGGTGCCGAAGTCTGAAAAGAAGTCGTCGCTTTCCAACATCCGGTCTTACTTTATACGTGCTCCTGGTGCTTTGATCGAATGTCAGAGATCTATCGAGTGTCCACATTCATTTTAACCAGTTAGCAGCTTCTGACGATGACACAAAAAATGTTGCCATTTCTTCGTGACGACTGTACTCGTCAAAACTTGTTAAGAAACTTATACATTTTGATATTCTTTGTTAAATTATGCATTTTATAAAAGTGTTCTATTTAAACAACACGCGAAGAAAATGAAACGTGTAAAGTACAATTACAGTAACTTACCTAAATTCTCAGCAGAAGAATACAATTTTACGACGATTTCTAAAGAAATGAACGATCTCCATGTTTAATAGATCGCGTTCGTAATTTTCATCGTGGTTAGCATAAAACAAGATTGAGATTTCATATGGAGATACATGTGCCCTATGGTCGTGAGTAGAGTCGTATGTTCTCTCAGTTATTTTAAAGACCAAGTTGTACAATGGCAGATTCGGTCCAGGGCATTTCTCAAAATCAGTCTGAGCCCCCGGCAGCCTCTGAGACCGACGCGGGACACATTTCTGATAACCTATAGTTCGGATTTATTTCTGGAAGCGCAATCCAGGTCTGAACGCGTTAACTGGTCGCGGAGGCGGACACTGTTCGCATAGCGTCAGGAATAATTCTTGGAAGAATCTCTCGGAGGAATGTTCCCTCTCCCTGGGAGGAATATTACGTTCCACGGGGCTCTCCGGACGAGAAATCACCCCGTATTCCCAAGGATCTCCTTTCCGAGAATGACATTTATTCTCGCCGGTCGATTCCTCTCGGCGCGAAATCCTGCGAGTCGCACAATGACGAACGGTTCCGGCGCAGGGGCGGAAAAATACCGAGCTGTCGGAAGCTCCGACGCATCGCGGATAAGAAGAATTCTTTGTCGATCGGCCGAGGAGAGAAAAAGAGAGAGAGGGAGACAGTGGGANTTTACGACGATTTCTAAAGAAATGAACGATCTCCATGTTTAATAGATCGCGTTCGTAATTTTCATCGTGGTTAGCATAAAACAAGATTGAGATTTCATATGGAGATACATGTGCCCTATGGTCGTGAGTAGAGTCGTATGTTCTCTCAGTTATTTTAAAGACCAAGTTGTACAATGGCAGATTCGGTCCAGGGCATTTCTCAAAATCAGTCTGAGCCCCCGGCAGCCTCTGAGACCGACGCGGGACACATTTCTGATAACCTATAGTTCGGATTTATTTCTGGAAGCGCAATCCAGGTCTGAACGCGTTAACTGGTCGCGGAGGCGGACACTGTTCGCATAGCGTCAGGAATAATTCTTGGAAGAATCTCTCGGAGGAATGTTCCCTCTCCCTGGGAGGAATATTACGTTCCACGGGGCTCTCCGGACGAGAAATCACCCCGTATTCCCAAGGATCTCCTTTCCGAGAATGACATTTATTCTCGCCGGTCGATTCCTCTCGGCGCGAAATCCTGCGAGTCGCACAATGACGAACGGTTCCGGCGCAGGGGCGGAAAAATACCGAGCTGTCGGAAGCTCCGACGCATCGCGGATAAGAAGAATTCTTTGTCGATCGGCCGAGGAGAGAAAAAGAGAGAGAGGGAGACAGTGGGAGAGAGAGAGAGAGAGAGAGGAAGGCTCGCGTGAAAAGCGTAGCGCCCAGCCCGAGACCGGCCCGGATTTTGCAGGACAGAGGCGTCTCGCGCGCGCGAAATCACCGAGGTGTTCGTTAAGTAACCTACATTTCTCCGCTCGGTTCTCCGCTTTTGATCCGCCCCTTTGTCACGGACTGCCGTGTACATATATATATGTATATATTTATATACATACGTATATATATATATTTTTTTCGATGTATACGCGTGTATATTATTTTTTTCTCGCGTGACGGATACCGAGCGAACGCCGAGAAGCCGAGCTCTTTCTCGCTCTCTCTCGATCGGTGCTCGCGTGCACCCGCGGCCGATTATTGGTAAAGTAATTAGAGGAACGTAGGCGGACACGGTGTACATTGTGACATGCCGCCGCCGCGACCTTTGTCTCGCGATCGGCAAACTCAAGATTTAGGTTACCGCTTTGCGACTGTTCGATGCAAATTTCCGCCGCGAACTTCATCCGACCCGCCGCGGTTAATAGGGCCGCGCGGGTTCTCTTTCGCCGACTACGGGTCTCGCCTCTCTACTCACCAAAAATTGAATTAGAAAGGTAACGACGACCTTCGTCGATCCTCGTCATTTCTTGCTATTTACGCGACAATTTCCTCCGGAACATCCTGTACCGTTTCTGCGGATGCAGAAACGCTCTATTTCAGCATCTTAAGCGTTGCTCAACGATCATTGTTCCCTAGCTTTCAACAATGTGACAAATATAATTGATTGGTTCTTCCGATATCTCAATAGTCCCGGATTAGGAACAACCCTGTAGGCGTTGCCATTATTAAACAGCACATACACGCGCGCCGTATCAATTAAAAGCGCGATCGTCGTAATCGAGCCGTTCACGAGTTGAAACAGTTTTCGATACCAGAAGCGAAACTTTCTATAAAAAGTGGACGGAAAGTTGTTAGGGCATTGCGGAAAAGGGAATAGGAAAGTTAGATCGTTGGTGAAACGTAGTAGAAACCAGAAATGACTATTGTTTGATCCACTTTGTGTATCACGTATGCATCGTGCTATCGATTAAAACGGTAACTTTCTTGGTTACTTAATGGTACACAATATATTAACTTTCTCAACACCGTTGCGAACTGTACGTCCGCCAACCTGCAATTACAATGTCCTCGTCACAATACGGAATACAAAACAAGACTTTTTACACCACGTTGTAACTAGACAAAACTTTGTGGATCGAACTTTGCAACAGAAAGCTAAAAGAACTTACGAACAACGGCGTATTATTCTCATCTCCCGTTTAAACTGTTCGAGGAAGAACGAGAGTCTGGTTTGCACGAAGGTCCGTAATCATAACATCCACACACCGGCAAGCATAATTGATCGGCAACGCGACGTCCATACGTTACGAAACACCTTGGGTAACTACCCTCTCGCGGTAGGAAGTTCCATCTGCCGTTGGGGTGGCCGGGTAGATAACGATCAGAAGGAATCCAGCCCGTTCTGGTCGCTTCCTGTGTTCCAGGGCTGGAAGTTTGAACCTGCCGGTGCCAACAACCCTTCAGTTATAGCTTGGGAAGTTCCGTACACGCGACCTAGAGACCGAGACTTCCGGTCGGAGAGCTCTAGACCCGTGCCAAGTGTTCCCACATTCCTCCCGTTTCCCCCGTGCACCGACGCTAACCTACTTGGCTTAGAAATCGCGGGTGCCTGGACCTTCTCGCGGTGTCCTTTCCCCTGTGATTACCTCGGTTAACATTGTTTACGAATCCCCTTGGCGGCAGCTCCCGACCCGACTCCGACGGCGAACGTGTTCCGCGCAATTAGAGCTCTAGTTTCTTTGACGAGGCCAGCTATAATGTCCGGGAAAACGAATCCCCGAGTGCAGAGGCGTGGATTGTGTCCCCTTAAAAAAAAAATTATCCTCAAGCTCATCAGCTTCGCCCGGCTTTTGATCCTTGATGAGAGACCGTGTCGATGTTGATGGAACGCTGGAACAATTTCTTCGCGAAAGTTTCGAGGCTACCGAGCTCGCGATCGCCGGAGGCTCTCTAATTAGACGCGATCTTCGTTCGTAGGCGATCGATACGCGAAAGTCTGGAAAGGTGGCAGATGCGTTCAAGTTTCGCTGGCCAGGCGAAAGACGTAGAAATGTCCTAAGCCGGCGACGGCGGCGGCGGCGGCGGCTAGAATAAATCGATGGCATCGGTCACATTCCATTCCAGTTCAATTACCCCGCCGATAAATTGACTTTCCCCGGTATCAAAGCGTGACCGGCTCCCCGGCTCCGGCCGCTCACAATCCTATCTTCCAGCCGCTAATTAACGAATGCTCCGCCGCTTATTCCCTTCCAAGGACCGGCGAGAAATAAATACGATCTCTGGTGTTGACCTTTCGAGGCCTCGATTGGCTCCGCATACAAATCTGCGTTTTATACAGGGAAACAGCCTCCAGTACTCCGACCTTTGGCTCGAAAATTGCTGGCACAGATTTCCCCGGGCTCGATCGAATGAGTTAACCTCGGGTTTAGGTTTAAAACTTGGACGGATGTTTTTTCGCAGCAGAGAAATCGGTGTTTCTCCGGCAGAACAAGCGCCGAGATTTAGGACTGCGGCGTGTCTTTTATTAATTAGCCACGGGGACTTCAGAAGCGCGTTAATAAGACACTCCAGGGTCTCTGCACGGATGCGAAACACCGCTTGTTTCGCTCCTCGGGCTCCCTGTCCCTGCGAGGGATTTTTTTCGTCGTGAATATAATTGTCGTTCCCCGTCGACCAGCCGTCCGATCGTTGTACAGTCCATTTAATAGAAGTCGAAAGGATGTTAGAGCTGCCGGAGGTAGACTCTTGATCGTGAAATGGCTCGCTCGTTCCTCGACTGGCGGACGAGTGGCAACGGTTTCAGTCACCGTGCAACGAATTACTTACGCCACGTCGGCCGGATTAAGTACCTGCGTCCTAAACGAAATCATATTGGGGGACAGATGAAACTGGAACCGGCGGTGGAGCGCGCGGTAGCCGCAATTTGCACAAAAATCTCGATGTGGCCGGACAACAGACCCTCCGGAGTCTGAAGTTGAAACGCCGCGTCGGGGCTTATTATTTTACTTTTTCCTCGCGACCGTGCTGGCCAAATACTTGACAACGTGTGCATGGACATTTTCCAAAGTCTCTCGGGAATTTCAAATGAATGTTTCTAGTCGGTGAAAAAGTTTCATCGATTTACTGGGTTCGTTTGTTTTAGATTACGGATTGTTATGGATTTACGACGTTTTATTCTGATCTGAAAGAATTTTCCAGTAGGAAAAACACATTGTAACAGATTTTATATTGAATATTTTTGGTTCGTTTTTTTTTTAGTAAGTAGCTTAGGGAAATTTTGCATAAAGATTCATCGTCTATCTATAATAAATCTTTTGACAATTTGGAATCACTCTATGGGTTAAGATTTTATCAAAGAGTCTCAACGAGTCAGTGACATGTGAAATATTGATTAAAATGTGATAAAACTGTTGCAATAAGAAGCAGTATTTACATCACCTTTTAATTGGATATGTTGCTTTCCATTGTCCTTAGGGACAGGAAATTGAATATGCATTATGCTTATTCGTATGCTCAGAGATTTTCGAAAATTACAACAGAGAGAAATTTCTAAGTGATCCTTGTATCCTGCAGCAAACGCAGAAAATCTGTATCGCAATTTTCAGTCATTTGAAAACCATAAATGTATGTAGACACATATAGTCTACACGAAATTGTTCGATGGCTTGAACCGTCTCAAAGGAAGCTTATCCTTTCGCATAAACAATCCCGGCGAACACGAAACAATTGCATCTATTTAGTCGGCTCGGAAGCCAAGAGTTCCGGCAGAAGTTCGCGGAAATCCGAGTGATTTCAAAGTTTGCAGCGATCGGCGGCAGGTTTGAGCGTCCGAGTCAACGTTCTTGGCCTCGTCAAACGTTTCCCCGGCGTTCTCCAAAGGAAAGGTCGGCGGTGGGGTGGCCGACAGCGTGATTCGCCGGCAATAAAAGTGGCCGAGCCCAAAAAGTTTCTCCTCTCCGTTTAATTTGAGAGAGGTTCGCCCTCGGAGGTTTCCCTGGCTCGCTCGCTCGCGACGTTCCAAGTAATTCGAAGCGTCCCGAAGCGAAGAGCTTCGCGGTGGTTGCATGGTGCTCGGGTTCTCCGGGTTTATTAGTTGAAATATCGGCGGCCGCTTCGTTCACCGCGAACTTTTCCCCGTGTTTTCAGCCGGCGAGGGTAATCATTGCTCGTTGTTTGTCCGCAGACGAAAGCAGAACGAGGTGAAGGTCCTCGAGGACACGATACGGGCCTGCTCGGAGTTGTACAAGAAGGCGGGAGTGGAGCTGCATGCCACGTGTCACATATGCATGAAAACCAAGTTCGCCGCCGGCGCCGGCCACACCTGCAACTACTGCAGCATCCGGTGCTGCGCACGCTGCGGCGGAAAGGTCAATCTACGGTCGAACAAGGTACGCCCGAGATTCGGAAAAAGTCAGCGCGAAGGAGAGACGAAGGAAAGGAACAGCCGCGAACGGTCCAACCCTCGTTGCTACATCGTTCTCAAAGCTGCTATTCTAGATCGAACGAAATAACACTGTTGCGCGGAAAAATTCCAACGCCCGAGACCCGGCCTGAATAGAAGCAGCACTCGCTACGCGCGCGAGGCTTGAAAGCTGCTCTGCTCGGGTTACGTAACGCCCCTATTCAGCCGGTTGTTTAATAAATAGTAAATTCTCACGTGTTACGCGAACCTGGGAAATTCAGATTCTTATTATTTCGACTTCGGGATTTCGTGGATGTTCGGTGAAGGGGCTGTTTGCGTTGTTGTCTTTAGCGTCTGGCCTTATTGATCTATAATGTGTGTACAGGTGGCTGTTCGAATACCTCCGTCTCTTATGCATAATTTAACATGGTTAACACGCTCGCTGGCTGCGTTCGTTTCGAGAAGTGTTGCAACTGTTGCAACGTAAGTGTACCTTCTTCGCGAGATACTTGACACGTGGAAGGAATATTTCTGTTCGCTCGTGATCGAAATGTTGCGCCATGTGTTCCAACTTTGAGTAAAATCGCATTGTCCGGAAATCTTTCTTCGTAACACACGAGCCGCTAAAATATCGGAACAATTTAGAATGCTTGCGAGAACAAAATATCGGGCGAGACTCGACGAAGACAATTTTGCTATGATAAAAGGTTCGCAAATTAATTTGGACTCTCGCGAACAAGCAACGCTGGTGGCGAACGCGTTCACTATCAATTTAGAGCATGACGCGTAAGATACAATTCTCGCGAGAAGGCAGGAAAGACGGCCCGTAATCCGGTATTTTTCTTTTAATTACGAGAACCACTTAAATTTAGGGAACATCGACACTTTGAGGGATCGCCGGTTCTATTTGTCGTCGCGGTGACCGCGAGCAAAAAAGATTCATTACCTAAATGAAAGGATCAAAGCGAATCCGCTGTGGCGGAGGGATGGAAATACCGGTGACATTTCGGGGTTCGAGAAAGATTTCATGTTCCAGCTCGAATGAGAACGTTCGCGAGTTTTGTGAAAGCTAACGTAAGAAGGAATTATGCAACAGTTGACGTTTAATCGTCACTTGCGCGAAGAATCGTGAGTGGGGACTGTTATTGGTCGAGCATCGAGGGGTCGGCGGGGCTGCCGACTAACTGGATACGTCACTGATCGATAAACGAGATCGTCGATCCTATATACACGCGAAGGTCCGCCGCGGGCAATGCAAATCAATGTTTTCATAGCGTGAAAACTGGAATCAACCGGCTCGCCCTTTGTCGATAACCCTAATCAATGGGTTTACAGAAAGAACTACTATCGTCAGTTTCGAACCCTTATCTTGCGGTCATTGTTAGAATCGAGAGAACATTTTGGTTCATGAAACCAACTTTCCATTCTTCAAAATTTTCTTCTTAGCTACGGAAGAAAGATAGTACGTTGATATTTTGAACGTAGCTTTGTTGATATTTTGGCAATCTGAAATCATTCATGAAAATTCTATATGTTCTCAATAAGCATAGTTGCAAATCCTACTGCATGATCTATCAATTCGTTAACTCGTTAATTCATGCTCAGTTGGCTGAAACTCGGTAACTTTGTTATCGGACAGAAAGAGTCGAACCAAGCATTTTTTAAATCCCCATGAGGGTCGTTATCGCCTCGCCGACAAACACAGCTGAAACAAGACTTCTCTACTAAAAATTATTTAAAATAAAATGTAAAATTAGAACGACTCCCTTTCTATTCTTCCACATAAGTTACATCGTGGGGTTGCGAGCGACCTGAAATAAAATTTCAATAATTAAAATATTATTTATTATCTCCAAAATATAAAAAACCAAAAGCTCGATACAAGTTTGCAAAAAGATGTTTGTCCGTCCCTTTGAACAGCATGAGTTTGGAGAATAAGGGAACCCTCAATTTTTTAGCATTTATTTGCACGTTTGCAGACAAATTAAAAATTTTGTGGGGTCATCGGCAATCCGAGGGGGTTGTTCTTGGGTTAATAATTTATGTATTCTATCTAAAGTCGCGTCATCCGGGTTCTAGCCATAAACTGTAAAGACCGAAAACCGCGTGATCGATCGCGAACGCGTTGAAACACAATTAAAAAAGGCAGGGTGCAAACTCCAGCGGCGATCGTTCCCCGTTCAGCTAACCTTTCAATATCAATGAGACATTGAACGCAGTTAATTAACATAATTGGCCGGAGCGTCGGTTACGATGATTGCGGGGGGCGACGCGCGAACCTTAGGAAATGTCAGCGTCGACCGAGAAAGTTCAAAGAGAGGCCGGTCTGTTCGGTATCGCCGTGGAGGATCGGGGCGAGAGCTTTTCGCGAAACTCATCGTTTTCGTGGAAATAACAGCGGGGAACTCGGCTAAACGTCGCCGAGCGATCTTGATCGCTGGTTTCACGAGTTCCGAGGACTAGACGCAATTCTGGTAACGATGCTCCCGGAAAATAGTGCGACCATTCATCGGGATTTAGTTGTTCAGGCTTCGGTGGCCAAGCGTCTCTGTCTCGAAATTACGAAACCGTGCGATGAGACCGATTCCGAAGAGCGCGAATCGCCGCTGTTGGAAATGTCAACTTCCTGGAAACAATTAAGGGCAGCCGTATCGTGAAAGACGATAATCGGAGGTACGCGTATCGCGGCGCACGCCTGAAATACGTGGAAATAATTGACCTATAGCGAGCCCCTACCCTCCCGCCATACTCCCCAGCTACACAAATTAACCCTTATCGCGGACGCGTGTACATTGCGTCCGTGGGCGTAATGCCTTCGCTAAATAACCATCCAGCGAATACGTTTCCCATTTATGCGCCGATATTCCTTGAACCGATCGCGCAATTTCCAAAGGATTTTCATCAATGGGAATGGAACTGCGATCCGGCGCCGATGCCCTTTTTATTTCGCTGCATCCCTTGTCTTTGATTACGGAACGCCGTTTACAACACGCGCGCGGATTTCATTTTTTAGCCCATTCTCTCACCGTTATTTTAACACTGGCTCGTCCGACGAGTCACGGGAACCACGTTTCAATTTTTTTTTTTATAAGAATTGTGACAATCTCAGAAACTTGATTTTTTTAATATGGCCAAAAATAAAAGTGTTACGTTCATCAATTTCATGGATTGGATAAAATTGCTCTTTTGACGAATCAATGGAACCAGACTTTTTTAATCAAAATTGTGGTAATGATTCCTCGCAGCCGATTTCTCTAGCAAAAGCAACAACTTTTAGTAGTTTCACAATCGCTGCGACTGTAAAAATATCATTTCGAAGTGCAGAATTTGTGTTTGAATGACGTGTTTGAATTTGTGTTTCGTCTACTTTTCATTTTTCGGTTTTGACGATTATTATTCGTTCGATGTTACAATTTCTTCATGCAACCGTTTAGAATTTTCATCGGCGGAAAATGGAAGAACGAAATTTATGTTTATCAATTTCATAGATGCTACAGATGCATAAATGAAACTGTTCATCATCCGAGAGTGCAGCGGGGATGGGGATTCGAATTTCTCATAGTGTTCTCCGTGTCACGATGTTCTTCTCGGAGCTTGAGCACTGGTTCCTCGTCGGTCCGGGCAATTTAACTTCGTTTTTGAAAGCGCCATGTATCCGTAACCAAGAAATAAGAGCGGCCCGGGACCCGTATAGCGAGTATACACGCGCGTGCTCCAACCGGCAAGTGGCGGTATAATAATAGAAGCAGACGCGCGCGGAACTTCGGCTTACAACTTCCTGCAAGTTTATTGGTTTTCGTCGTACTTTCGCGTGGCTTAAGAAATGGGGGTTGCTCGCTCGTTCGCCCAAAGGCTTTCACCATCGTGCACAACCCTTCTCCTTTTTGCGTTCCGCGAGAAGAACAACCGGGCGATAACAATTTAAAACCGTCTGCGGAAATGGTGTTTCTCTCGCTTTCTCGTAAAATCGTCCGAATCTCTGCATCCTAAGAATTTATTTGATATTTTTCGTCGATTTTCCTGTCCTATGTACACACTTCGATTTATTTATTTATATTTATCTGAATTTTAGTTCGGAAATTTAAGCGCTTCTTTTTTAGGAAAAGAACCCTTTGAGGATGAATTTCGATATATTGACATAAAGGATCAGAATATAATGTTTATTTCTTCCATTAAATTATTTCTTCCCAAGTTTCCTTCAGCTTGTAAACAAAAGTGGATAATTTGGGAAGAGAAGATTATTCGAGTCTTGTGACTCATTTTTACAGTTGCCGATTGTCAATAATTATAAAAAGGAGGTGCAAGGCTCGAATTTCTTCTTCCCAAATTGTCCATTTTTGTTTACAAGCTGAAGGAAAATTAGGGAGAATTTACTGTGCTTAGATAGAGTGCCAGACTTGACGTTTATTGATGAATACGGTAGAACCTCGATTATCCGATTCTCCAATACAAGAATCATCTATTATGCAAATACTTTTCACATATAATTAATCAGCTCAATTTGAGGCAACCCACATGCGAAACGATTTACTTGTGCAAATGAATAAAGTTGAAATCTGGCAGTGTACGTATTTGGATAATAGAGAGTTCTGGCATTGGCGCATAGGACAATCCAGATTCTATCGTATTTAAGTTTCTAACGGGTAATTTAGTTATTCTTAATAAAGGGATAAATATTCAAATATTANGGAACGCCGTTTACAACACGCGCGCGGATTTCATTTTTTAGCCCATTCTCTCACCGTTATTTTAACACTGGCTCGTCCGACGAGTCACGGGAACCACGTTTCAATTTTTTTTTTTATAAGAATTGTGACAATCTCAGAAACTTGATTTTTTTAATATGGCCAAAAATAAAAGTGTTACGTTCATCAATTTCATGGATTGGATAAAATTGCTCTTTTGACGAATCAATGGAACCAGACTTTTTTAATCAAAATTGTGGTAATGATTCCTCGCAGCCGATTTCTCTAGCAAAAGCAACAA